CCAACCCCGGAGCAGTCTAGGCCTGTGAAGGCTGTTTCATCATGAGCCGGGGATCCAGCTGAAGATTTCTGCCTTTTAATAAGAAAGTTTTTTTCTTACCACTGTAACTTTTGCTGCTTTGCTAAAGTGCTCATGATGGATAGGCCGGGTCTTTGTAACATAACAATGAGTAAGGTCTTTTACCTGCTTTTTGTAACATAACAATGAGTAAGGTCTTTTACCTGCTTTTTGTAAAGTGTCTCCAGATAACACTTGTTATGAGTTGACCCTATACAAATAAAAATTGATTGATGAGTTTTGAAGTAAAACCTTTGAGTAGTTCAGCTTAAAATGGAAATATCTAAGTACATACCTCAAACTGAAGGTCCATTGCTCACCTTAAACATCAGACGATTATCCAGAAAAAAAGTTTTGTTCTTCTCGTTTTAACCTTGAAATGAAAATGCAGCTTTGCATTACGTGCCTTCGTCCTCAGCGAGCAGCAGAATCTGCAGTCAGGGACGCCGAGCTCTGCAGAAAGACGACTTTGTTTCCAGCTCAACGTGAATAAACATAATAAATAAATGATAAAATGTGTGTGTGTGTGTGTGTGTGTGTGTGTGTGTGTCTGTGTGTCTGTGTGTGTTTGTGTGTCTGTGTGTGTGTGTGTGTGTGTGTGTGTCTGTGTGTCTGTGTGTGTGTGTGTGTCTGTGTGTGTGTGTGTGTGTGTGTGTGTCTGTGTGTCTGTGTGTGTGTGTGTGTGTGTGTGTCTGTGTGTGTGTGTGTGTGTGTGTGTGTGTGTGTGTGTGTGTGTGTGTGTGTGTGTGTGTGTGTGTGTGTGTGTGTGTGTGTCTGTGTGTCTGTGTGTGTGTGTGTGTGTGTGTGTGTGTGTGTCTGTGTGTGTGTGTGTGTGTGTGTGTGTCTGTGTCTGTGTGTGTGTGTGTCTGTGTGTCTGTGTGTCTGTGTGTGTCTGTGTGTGTGTGTGTGTGTCTGTGTGTCTGTGTGTGTGTGTGTGTGTGTGTGTCTGTGTGTGTGTGTGTGTGTGTGTGTGTGTTGTGTGTGTGTGTGTGTGTGTTGTGTGTGTTGTGTGTGTGTGTGTGTGTGTGTGTGTGTGTGTTGTGTGTGTGTGTGTGTTGTGTGTGTGTGTGTGTGTGTGTGTGTGTGTGTGTGTGTGTCTGTGTGTGTCTGTGTGTGTGTGTGTGTGTCGGTGTGTCTGTGTGTCTGTGTGTGTGTCTGTGTGTGTGTGTGTGTGTGTGTGTGTGTGTGTGTGTGTGTGTGTGTGTGTGTGTGTTGTGTGTGTGTCTGTGTGTGTCTGTGTGTGTGTGTGTGTGTCGGTGTGTCTGTGTGTCTGTGTGTCTGTGTGTCTGTGTGTGTGTGTGTGTGTGTGTCGGTGTGTCTGTGTGTCTGTGTGTCTGTGTGTCTGTGTGTGTGTCTGTGTGTGTGTGTGTGTGTGTGTGTCTGTGTGTCTGTGTGTCTGTGTGTGTGTGTGTGTGTGTGTGTGTCTGTGTGTTTGTGTGTGTGTGTCTGTGTGTCTGTGTGTCTGTGTGTGTGTGTGTGTGTGTGTGTGTGTGTGTGTGTGTGTGTGTGTGTGTGTGTGTGTGTTTCAGGCTCAGGGAGAACGAGCAGCGAGCTAAAGTCCTGCAGCAGGAGAGAGAGTTCTACTCGTCTCAGGCTCGGACGCTGCAGCAGTCGCTCTCTCAGCTCACTGCAGACAAACAGCAGACGGAGGCCGAGCTCAAGGTAACACGGCGTGACGCAGCTCGCAGAGGGCAGATACACAACAACACTCGAGGTCACCGCGTCAGTTAGATGTAGGTCAGCAGCAAACTGAACCAGATCGTAGACTAGTTTGAACCACATTTGAAGTGATGCATCAGCTGAGACTGTTCTCCAACACAGACAGAAGATAAATCTCACAGCGTTCTCCTGACGACTCTTTGACGTGTGTGTTTGGAGTGTGTTTGACACTCTTTGATGTATTTAGTGATATGTGTTTGATTTGTGTTTTGTGTGTATTTGATTTTGTGTTTGACACTGGGGTGTTATTGCCGTTATCTGATTTGTGTTTTTTGTGTGTTTGTTGTTTGTGTCGTTTGACTCAGGCGGAGATCGAGTCTCGCATAGAGCTGGAGAAGAGGCTGAAGCAGGCGGAGGAGGCTCTGCAGGACCTGGAGAAAGGCCTGAACTCTCTGGAGAGAAGCAAAGAGAGAGACGAGAAGATGAAGGGAGACGTGACTCAGCTGAGGAGTGAGTCTGATCTCCTTCACCTCTCTGACACACTCACCGTGTGATGAGTCAGGATTCAGATCCACAATCTGGAGACCTGACTCCAGTGCCCCCCCTGTGGACAGAGATGGTATTACATGTTGACTGTGTAGATTCTGCAGGAGGAACAAAAACAACAATAATAAAACTTTAAGTTCTTCAATATGACAGATTTCTATAAAGTCCACAAGATTTATTTGTGATCATTAAACGCCAAATAATCCAATAAGTTTGTAATTACTGTAAAATATCGATAAACAATGTCGGACTCGTCGTTGATGCGTTGATCGCCTTACCTCAGGAGACTCCGCCCCCCCTCCCGTCTGACTTGAGTCTCCCACTGTGAGGAGCAGATATGTTCAGGAGTGCATGTGTGAAAACGTCTCTGAGCGGTTTGGAGAGCTTCATCAGTTCATCGTGAGGAGACTCTGAGACTTCTCACGCTGCGACACAATCGAGCATTATTCTGTCTTTCTTGGGCGGATGAAGTTCATCTTCGTTTTGAGTGTCTAGCTGCTCTTTCTTGATGTTTAACCCTCAAAGTATTCCAACACTAAACGCTGAGTCACGTCTGACAGACTCCTGCCTTCAAAACGTGCAGCAACACCGGGATGGCTTAAATTGGGATTTGCTTTTTTAAAAATTTTCATCAGTTTCCAATCATGAAGTCGATAAAAAGACGTTAATATTCCTACTTCTTCACTTTTCTATTGATTGAAGTCACATTTACATGAAGCATGATTATGACTCATGATAGTGTTTTTTGATGTTCAGGGTTCTTCGAGGATTGTATCTGTGCAGCCGAGATCGAGGCCAAGCTCCCGGCGATCATGAAGAACGCCGTCTATCTGCACAAAGCCGCCGCTCGCAGGATCAAGAGCTGCAGGATCCAGAGGAGAGCCTCCAGACGCCACTGGTGTAAGTCTGAACACGATCACATCCATCCCGACCACACATGAATATTTCATGACTGAAATCACCAGAGATGAGAGAGAACATGATTATCTTAAAGAGTCTGTGCTGTTTTCTGAGGCGGCGGTTTAGCTTGTGAACATTTTAAGTTATATTAGAAACACAAGGTCGTAGTAAATACAGGAGAAATGTTCTATTAATCTGCTATTACACTCTGCTACTGCCGTTTTGGACGCCCCTCGGTTTGCCAGATATGAGAGCAGTTATCAGGTCAACAGGTGTTGCAGCGATGGAAGCGGTCAAGAGAAGTGGTTCAGATAGAAGTGATTGTACCCGACCTAAAAAGCCTCTGCATGTTTCTAATAAGCTCCACGAGCAGAAACGTGCTCAAACTAGGATCAATATTGGAGATGCTTTTGAAAAATGGAGAGAGGTTAGAACACAGAAAGGTTTACAGACCCATGCAGAGCTGGATAAACACTGAAGCTTCAGCGCTCTGCAAATTCGCTGAGCTGTGATTTAAGCCCTCTTTTACCTTCTACTTCTTCCACAGGGCGTTTTCACATAAAGGGGCGTGTTTGCTTTGGCGAGCTGGAAGTGAAGTTTTGAATGTTTTCATGCTAAATGAAGTTTTTATGAACTGATGGGTTCATCATCTCTGCGTGGAGCATCTCAGTATGTTCATTTCTTCCATCCTTATTCATGAAGGCCACGTTTCCACTCTCTGCTTCTTCACAGTGAAACACTCCAAGTCATTCGCCGTGGCGCCCGTCGATGGCGGCGACATGGACGAACTGCGGGAGACGGCCAAACGACTGACCTCGGACAGCAACTTCAGAGAGAGCGTGTACGAGATCATAACGCGCAAAGACGGCAAGAATAAAATCGAGGACTGAGAGTAGAGAGAGAGAGAGAGGAGGAGCGGTCCTTAGCTTGACCTCAGACCCCTCACTGAGGGACGTAGAGACCCTGATCCCAAACCCTCCTCTGAGTCCTGTAGACGACTGAGCACAGAGATCTGAGGATCTGAAGTTAATAATCTGTACAGAGTGTAACATAGACTTGAACCCGTTTTAACCCTCTCACATGTAACACACTCTCCCTCGCTTCACTCACGGACCAAAACAACTGAACACTCTGATGCTGAAGGTTCTCTTTGTGTTTTCATCAAATCTGCAAAGAAAAAACTGACAAACACAAATAACATTTAAAGGTCAAATATTCTGTAAAATCCTCTTCTCCATGTTCCTCTAACTCTAACATGTGTCTCTAGTCCGTCTACAAACCCCCAATGATGAGAAAAGTCCATCCTCTCTGTCTTCTGCCTGCTCCACTTCTCAGAAAATGTGTGCTCAAACAGGCTGTTTGGAGATTTTCCCTTCATGACATCACAAAGGGCAGTAGCCCCTCCCCCAGGTGGGTGACACTCCCACAGCTAGGTGTTTGTTCTGCCCTGAGTCTGCCTTCTCACCGTAAACAATAGGACATGGATCGAGAAAGACCAAGTACACCCAAGCCCTTCCAGAGAGGGGGCGTGGTCAGACACAGCTCATTTACATATTTAAAGGTACAGACACAGAAACAGCCTGTTCTGAGCAGGGCTGAAATAGAGGGGTTTATAGACATGATCAAATACAGGATCAGAGTGGATTCAGAACAAGAAACTTCACACACATGTTTTGAGGAGCTCTGAGACTTATTTAAACTGAAGAGGAGGAGGAGGATATGTGACCTTTAAGAGAAACAGTAACAACAGGTCATTGCAATAATTCATTTCTTCGACTGTTCACCTACCGAGTGTTTTACAGTATATAGTAGCAGATAGCACAGACGATGCTAACACATCTTGTAAAATGTTTTTATTGTTTGCACAGATGGTTTCCTTCACTGTCACTGATGTTTGATGAAAAACAAAGAACTCACACACGTGCGTCTTGATGTTGAGCTTGACCATTTCATTATTGCTACAAAACAAAAAAAATCTGTTCTCCGCGAAGCAACTCCATGTAATTCACTCACGCAAGCGTTTGTATGATAATGTACACATGACTCTGTAACTAATGATGAAGAAGAAGAGGAAGTCCACATGTCAGGGTGAGAGAGGAGGGAACGTATTCTGGACTCAACAAATTGCCTCGATGCTAATAAAGCTGTGTTTGAACCTCGTACATGTCTGTTCATTTCTGCAGGTTAAAGGCCGGAGGTTCACGTGGGGGTTCAGTTCTCAGCAGCACAATAAGTGATGGCACTCGATTTAAACGACTTGAAAGTCTTGATATGGATGTTTTCGTCCTCACAGGAGGAAGAAGAGGAGAAACCTTCAGTGTGTGATGAAGTTTAGCTCTTACAGCGTCAGCTCCGTCTCGTCTCCTCGACCTGCAGGGAGGGAATGAAAGGTGATGAGTGTCGGGAGAGAAAGAAGCAGGAGGAGAAAAGAATAAAAGATGCAGGAAGAGGAGTAAAGATTCACATACTGTATCATACTGCACACATGGTGCTCGTTAACGTTAACTCTGAAGTTTTAATTCTGTCTTCCTTTAAAGATTTTTATTGATGATGTTACATCTCTCTGGAAGGATGAGTTAGTTTAAAGGCTTTATATGTGATTTTTTGATCCAGCAGGTGTCGCCCTTGAGCACCAGCATGAAACCAAAACAACTCACGCTGCATTGTTGTGTTAGCATGCTAATGCTAGCGATCTTTAGTATGCTGGTATCTTCACACTGCATGTAAATTTACCTGAAATGAGCGTGATCTAGAAACACAGTTAAGCAGTGAGTACAGTATGTTATTCTTCTTTTCTCTAGTCCCTCAATTAAACAACTTTTATACACGAGGGGAGGAGTCAGCCGGCCGTCCTGGCGATGTAAACAAAGTGAAGATAGGACTCTGAAAACTCTGAAAACATCACAGACAGTGGGACTCGGGTGTTACACCCATTGTAGACAGTCATGACTCACAGAGTTATTTTCAGAGGATATACTTGATTTATATTATATTGAAGTGTGAATAATCACAGAGCTTTGAGGACTGTAGCCTCTCAATTAAAAAAACTTTGAATAAATTTAGAATAAGACGCGGTAATGTTTGAACACATGGGCATGTAGTGACCTTGTGTCTCTCCACCAATCAGTGAGCTGCTGTCTCCTCATGTCAGTTTACATCTCCTGAATCACGTCCCCGTTACTTTAGCCTCAACATTACCGTCTTCATTTACTGACGTCAGGAGTGTATGTAAGGTCATGTTAAGCTGAGAGCGCCCTCTGCTGGATCAAACACAAAGTACTTCAGACCTTGGCGGGTGTTCATTTCAGACCTGCCTATAGGTCATTAAAAACCTTGAGATTCACCTTTCACTCGACTTGAGTTTGGTGAGATTTTCAGAACAACAGGAAGTTGATATTGTCAGTATAAACTCGTCTCACCCTGCAGGTTAGCTCCTCCTTTATCTCCCTGATCGACTGTTTCATCCATTTGACCTACAAACCTCCAGGTATCCAGCACTGACTTTATGATGTTGGTACATTTAGAAACATCTTTTTTTTAGAGCCCTCATTCAGCGTCCTAAGCAGCTCTAAATCTGCTACCTCATGCCTCTAACCTTACATCACCCCCCCCCCCCGATTATCTGCTGAGAACAGCCAGGCTCAGTCAGTCTGTAAGCCTGTCAGCGCTCTGCTGCTCTAAAGCTGACTTTCTAACTCATCCTGGATTTTACTCTGAAACCATCGACCTCACAGGGGTCTTTTATGATTCCATATTCTTCACATCTGAGCGCTGCGGAGAATTTACTGCAGCAGGCGTCGTCCTCTGATGTCGTTCAGGGAGAAATCCTTTAAACCTGTCACCTACATGCCCCCCCATCCCCTCGCTGTGCCCTCGTTTTCCCCTCGCTGTCCCCCCCGTCCCCCCCAGAAAATCACAACAGGGACAGGGGGGGACAGGGGGGGACAGCGAGGGGACAGGAGGGGGACAGCCCCCCCATCCCCTCACTGTGCCCTCGTTTTCCCCTCGCTGTCCCCCCCTGTCCCCTCGCTGTCCCCCTTCTGTCCCCCAGGGACAGGGGGGGACAGAAGGGGGACAGCGAGGGGATGGGGGGGCATGTAGGTGACGGGTTTAAAGGATTTGTCCCTGAACGACATCAGAGGACGACGCCTGCTGCAGTAAATTCTCCGCAGCGCTCAGATGTGAAGAATATGGAATCATAAAAGTGTCATAACAAAGAATCAATCTGTAAAGTAAGCATCAGTATTCACTCATCCAGAAACACAAAGGAGCTACTAGTGGTGAAGTGTCTTTCCCAAGGACACATCGAAAACTGGAGATCGAACCACTGACCTTCCAGTTCAGAGACGACCTACCACTGAGCCACAGCCGCTCTGTATTTATATCATATACTGAGCTACAAAGACAAGTTTAGGATAAATGAAATGTGATAAGAACTTTTAT